CTATAACACTCCCCGGAAACGAGGAGGGGCATGGGTGATAAGGGCCTAGGCTGCGCCGAGAAGGCCAGTAGAGGAAAGATTTTGGTTTTACTGGAACCCACCCAAATCGGAGCAAAAGGGGACTGGGACAAGGGTCACGTTCGGGAGAAGGTTCGTTACCGTCGGTTAAAAATACTGGCGACTTGACCCTAGAGGCGTGGGCTGCATGGCACGGGCCTGGCTCTTGCGAGGCTGCCCGGCTGATGCAGTGTCCATTGATTTAAAGCGATCAGGACGTGCTTCTCTACATGTTATCATCCTAGACGTTTTCCTCCTGGTTTTGAAACCCAGACTTTGGTTTGTGTTATCATTATCATCGTCATCGAAAACGTAAATGTACACATGCCTAAGAGGCTCCAGCGTACGATTTATGACAAAGAGTTCCTTAGCCTCAGAGACAGCTAGTTTTCACCAATTCGGTTTTTTTAGTTCTTGTTCTATAAAAAGCGCTAAATTGCCGGGCATGTTGGCGCATGCCTTTAATCCCAGCACTCGGGGAGAGTTCAAGGCAACCCATTGTGAGTTCCAGGACAGCCAGAGTTACACAGAGAAACCCTGTCTTGCAAAAGCAAAATAAAGAAACAAAACACAACAACATTAACAAACATGGGGCTGGAGAGATGGCTCAGTATTTAGGAGTCCTGGCTGCTCTTGCAGAAGACTCTGGTTCGATTCCCAGTACCCACATGGCAGTGCACAACTGTCTGTAACTCCAAGATCAGACACCCTCACACAGACATGCATGTGGGCAAAGCACCAGTGCAAATGAGAGAGAGAGAGAGAGAGAGAGAGAGAGAGAGAGAGAGAGTAAGTCACTTGGGAAATATAAGAGGAGAATATGTGTTCTTTAAAAAAGAAAGAAAAGAACAAAACAAACAGGAGACGCAGGTTACTAGAGAGCTTGTCTAGCATGCACGAAGCCCAGGATTTGATCCCCAAGCACCACATAGACTGGGCACAGTGGCACAGGTTTGTAATCCCTCAGCTGTGTAGAGTTTGAGGGCACCCTGGCCTGTGATGACCTGTTTCAAAAAGTCTTTAAGTGCTTAGTAAAATGCACTTTCTTCATTTGATTTATCCGTGTTTTGACTTGACGCCACAAGAGAGAGCTACAGTTTGTTATCTCTAACTTGCCCTTGTAATAATGTATTTAAGACCCATTTACATTAACATTATTACCTCAAGTGGACAACATGAATGAAGAGTTTATCTTGAATGCAAAATTTAAGGAAGCCCCCAAATTCAAAAATTTTTTTTTGAGACAGGTTTCTCTGTGTAGCTTTTGGAGCCCATCCTGGCACTCACTCTGGAGACCAGGCTGGCCTGGAACTCACAGAGATCCACCTGCCTGTGCCTTCCGAGTGCTGGGATTAAAGGTGTGTGCCACCAACGCCCAGCCAAATTCAATATTTTAATGCACTTTTTTTTCTTGGTACAGGAGATGGACCCCTGAGCTACATCCCCAATCCCACAATATTTATAAATTCAAAAGAGAAAATAAGCAAAATACTAAAAATTTAAATAAAGACTGTATCATTGTTGCTGATTGTACCTTTGGCTCAGGCTCCAATATGTCTGAGTAAGGCTCTGTTACTGAGGTTGTTTTCAAAAACACTCCCCTGGCACTGAGACATTATTTAGTTTGGTTATTGTGAATTGTATTTCTCTTATCAAAAGCTTGTATCCCAAATACAATCAGCACAAACTATTGATGAGATAAAACTGAGATTGAGGTTATTGCTTAATGGGGTAAAGGGCAACTGCATGGCAAACCTTTGGCAGTGTCTCAGAAGGTCTGGTCAAACTTAGTGACAACTGGAAATTTGACCTGGCCTGTTGGCCTGGAATCTCAGCTACTCAGGAGGCTGAGGCAGGAGGATCACAAGTTCAAGGCCCACCTGAGTTGCAGAGAACTGTTAATTTGGTTTAAGGTAGCCTACCTGCCTGCCTGCCTTTCTCTCTCTCTCTTTCTTTCTTTCTTTCTTTCTTTCTTTCTTTCTTTCTTTCTTTCTTTCTTTCTTTCGTTCTCCCTCCCTCCCTCCCTCCCTCCCTCCCCTCCCTTCCTCCCTTCCTTCCTTCCTTCCTTTCTTTCTTTCTTGCCATGTTTTGGATGTTGATTTACTGATTGTCAATCCTTTTGTTTTTTTCTTTCACCTTTTAAAAAAATGTTACATACCAATCTCAGTTCCCCCTCCCTCCTCCCACCTTTCCCCCATCTGCTCCTCAAAGAGGGTAAAGCCTCCTATAGGGTGTCAACAAAGTCTGTCGCATCACTGAGTTGAGGCGGGACCAAGGCCCTTCTGCCTGTGTCTAGACTGAGCAAGGTATCTCTCCATAGGAAATGGGTTCCAAAAAGCCAGTTCATGCACTAGTCCTGGTCCCACTGACAGTGGCCCACAAACTGCCCACGCCATCTACTGTCACTTGCATTCAGGGGGCCTAGTTCAATTCTATGAAGGTTCCCCAGCTGTCAGTCCAGAGTCAGTGAGCACCTACTAGCCTGGGTCAGCTGTTTCTATGGGTATCCCCATCATGGTCGCGATCCCTTTGCCCATATTATTGCTTGTCCCTCTCTTGGACTGGACTCCAGGAGCTCTGCCTAGTGGTTAGTTGTGGATTTCTGCATCTGTTTCCATCAGTTACTGGATGAAGGTTCTATGATAACAAGGTAGTCCTCAATCTGATTTTAGGGGAAGGCCAGTTCAGGCACCCTCTCCACTATTGCTTAGTTTTATCTGGGGTCATCCTGTGTATTCCTGGGAATTTCCTTAGTGCCAGGTTTCTCGATAATCCCATAATGGCTCCCTCTGTCAAGATATTTTTTTCCTTGCTCTCCCTCTCTGTCCTTCCCCCAACTCAACCATCCAGTTTCTTCGTGTTCTCCTCCACTCTCCCCTTCCCTCCTCTCCCCTTCTACCCTCACCTCTAACTCAAATGCTCCCAATTTACTCAGAGGATCTGGTCTTTTTCCGGTTCCTAGATGGATTTATGTATGTCTCTCTTAGGGTTCTCTTTGTTGTCTAGCTCCTCTGGGGTTGTGGATTTTAGGCTGGTTGTCCTTTGCTTTGTGTCTAATGTCCACTTATGAGTGAGTACATACCATATTTGTCTTTCTGGATCTGGGTTACCTCTCTCAGGAAGTTTTTTTTTTTTATAATTCCATCCATTTCCCTGCAAATTTCAAGATGTTATTGTTTTTTTAACTACTGAATAGTACTCCATTGTGTAAATATACCACTTTTTTTTAAATCCATTCTTCGGTTGAGGGGCATCTAGGTTGTTTCTAGGTTCTGGCTATTACGAATGAAGCTGCTATGAACATAGTTGAGCAAATTTTCTTGTGTGAGTGTGCATCCTTCAGGTATATGCCCAAAAGTGGTATTGCTGCTTCATGAGGTAGATTGATTCCCAATTTTCTGAGAAAACACTGTACTGATGTCCAAACAGTGGTACAAGTTTGCACTCCCACCAGCATCGCAGGAGTGTTCCCTTTACTCCACATCCTCTCTGACATCAGCTGTCATCTGTTTTTGATCTTAGCCATTCTGACAGGTGTAAGATGGTGTCTCAGAGTTGTTTGCATTTCCCTGATGGCTAAGGATGTTGAGCAATTCCTTAAACATCTTTTTGGCCATTTAAGATTGCTCTGTTGAGAGTTCTCTGTTTAGATCTCCAGCCCATTTTTAAATTGGATTATTTGGTATTTTGGTGTCTGGTTTCTTGAGTTCTTTGATATTTTGAAGATCAGCCCTCTGTCACATGTGTAGTAGGAGGAGATCTTTTCCCATTGTGTAGACTGCTGTTTTGTCTTGTTCACCATGTCCTTTGCCTGAAGCCTCTCAGTTTCAGTAGATCCCATTTACACAGCCGTTGTTGCTCCCAGTGCCTGTGCTACTGGTGTTTTATTTCAAAAGGAGTTTCCTGTGCCAATGTGTTCAAGGCTACTTCCCACTTTCTCTTCTATGAGGTTCAGTGTGGTTGGATTTATGTTGAGGTCTTTGATCCATTTGGACATTACTATAGCTCCATAGTAGAGCTTGAAGTCAGGGATGGTGATGCCCCCAGATGATCCTTTATCCTTTATTGTACAGGATTGGTTTGGCTATCCAGGGTTTTCTGTTTTTCCATGTGAAGCTGAGTATTGTTCTGTCAAGGTCTGTGAAAAAATTGTGTTGGGATTTTGATGGGGATTGCATTGAATCTGTAGATTGCTTTTGGTAAGATTGACATTTTTACTATGCTGATCCTACCTATCCAAGAGCATGGGAGATCTTTCCATTTTCTGATATCCTCTTCAATTTTGTTCTTCAAAGACTTAAAGTTCTTGTCATACAGGTCTTTCACTTATTTGGTTAGAGTTATTCCAGATATTTTATGTTGTTTGTGGCTATTGTGAAGGGTGTTGCTTCTCTGATTTCTTTCTCAGCCCATTTATCATCTATATATAGGAGGACTACTGTTTTTTTAGTTAATCTTGTATCTGGCTACATTACTGAAGGTGTTTATCAGTTGTAAGAGTTCCCTAGTAGAATTTTTGGGGTCACTTATGTATACTATCATATCATCAGCAAATAGCGTTGATATAGTACAGTACAGGTTGGGTGTGGCGGTGACTCTTAATCCCAGCCCTCAGGAGGCAGAGACAGGTGGATATCTGTCACTTCTAAGCCATCTTGGTCTATATAGTGATTTCCAAGCCAATCAAGCTACATAGTGAGACCCTGTCTCAAAACAACAACAAAATAGGGAATGACATGGTGAGGGATTCAGATAACCTCAGAGGGCAGACCGGCAGTTAATGTTGAAGCCATTCACCTGGGTGGACAGTCCAGGCAGAGCTAGAAATGCTGATGAAGGCAGAATTCTGGCAGGTTTACATTCACGTGAATATAGTAAGGTATGTCTTTAGCTCAGTGCCCAGCAAGTATGCGGTGGGTGGTTTTAATTTTCATCCTCTTCATGGATCTGTTCATCCATTCATATTTAATAATGTCCCAGAAACTGGTAGATGCAAAGAACATAGTTATCAGGATTCCTGCCTCGTGGGATGATAAACTGGTGACCAACACAAGAAAACAGACCAAACTATTTGAAATCTGATTATTTAGTAAACTGCAGTGAATGAAATGAGTCATTGTGGAGGTACAGAGTGAACAGGGCTGCAGAGGACGCTATTTTAGAGGTAGAGGAGGAAGACCCTGCTGTCAAAGAGATATATGAAAGTATCTGAACTACAAGGGACCTGGAAGAGAAGAAACAGCCACGTAAGGTCTGGAAAGGAAAAACTTTCGGTTGGGCTGACGAGATGGCTCAGTGGGTAAAGGTTCTTCCTTCCTGAAGATGCAAGCCTACAGGCCTGAGGTCAGTTCCCAGAACCCACACAAAGGTTTTGAAAGAGGAGAGCCAACTCCACAAGATTGTCTTCTGACGTACACTGCGTGCTATGACAGGCATATGCCTGCACTTACACCCACAGTAAGACTTGTCAGGCATCAGAGGCAGGGTGAGCTCTGTAAGTTCAAGGTCAGCCTGGTCTACTAAAAAAGGTTGTGGATTGCAGGGCAGCCTGGTCTACTACATAAGATTGTGGGTTGCAGGCCAACTAGAGATGCATGGTTTTTGTCTAAAACTAACAGAATAAAACCTGATTTGAGAATCAGGAAAAGCTCAGCCACAGCCCCTCAGTTGATCGTGAGGCAGAGGAAAGGGGAAGGGAAATTAAGGTAGAGCTAGACCATTGCCATCCAGTGTGGCACCATGGGCCAACCTAAGACGGTGTTCTGTTGGCTGTAGTGAGAGGTTGCCTTTCATACCACTTACAGGAAGTCCTGTGGTCTGACCATCACGTGTGAATTTTCATTTCTGAACACCCAGGAGTCACGATAGGGGAATAAAGAAGCAATTCCCCTTTCCCCCAGATTCTCCAGTTAAAGTTTGTCACAGTTGCTGCCGTCACCTGCAGGTCAGCTTTGTTTGTTCATTCTCTTTTGGATCTCTTTGAGGAAACTTTGTGGAAGTCTTTACTTATCAATATTTAAGAATTTCCAAAAAATGAGGACATTTAACAGGATGATTACGGTTAAGATAATTGAATCCACATTCCTTTCCACGGCTTTACTGTTGTCCATGGTTACTCTCCTTTACCAGAGGTTTCACTCATCTGGAATCCAATCTAGCATCATAAGTGATGTTATGTTACCTGCTGGGGGCTGTTGCAGTAGAATGCTGCAGAGTGACTTGAGTAATGACAGGCTCATCTGTGAAAGCAAGGAGTCTGAGATCAGAATGTCCACAGAGCTTATACAGCCGCACACACTCTAAACGCCAGCAGTTGGGAAGCGGGGTCGGGAGGAGGAGAGTGAGAAGCCAGCCAGGGTCACAGAATGGAACCCAGTCAATAAAAGAAAGTGTCCACAGGCTGGAGAGACTGCTCGGTGGCTAAGAGCAGAGCACTTGCTGCTCTGGCAGAGGCCCCCGTTCAGTTCCCACCACCCATGTCAGCGGCTCACAGCTGCCCAAAACTCTAGTCCCAGGGGACTGACACTCTCTTCTAGCCTGCTAGGCATGCGTACACACATACACACATAAGTAAAAATAAAACCTTTTTTTAAAAACTGAAAATAAAGGGCTAGAGAGATAGCTCAGTGATTAAGAACTCTTACTATTCTTGAAGAGGGCCCAGGTTCCCAGCACTTGGCTCACAGACATCTGTAACTCCTTAGGCACCAGGCATACAAGGTGCACAGACAGACATGCAAGCCAGACACCCATACACATTTAAAAATAACTTTAAAAAGGAGTTCTGGGGTGGATTTCTTCCGGTGTCTGCAGGACTGGGGATCCAAGCCACGCTAGGCAGCAGTCTTACCAACTGAGTTACACCCTGCTACTAGCTGTAGACATGACGCTTGGATGAAAGGCACAGGCTGCCAAGGTCACCAGCCTGTAGACAGGGTTTGATTAGAATGGCCAGGCTCCTTTGTTTTTGTTTTATCTATGGCTTTTCTCAAATGGCAGGAGCTGGAGAGATGGCTCAGCAGTTAAAAGTTCTGGCTGCTCTTCCAGAGGACCCAGGTTCAACTCCCAGCACCCACATGGCGGCTCACAAATGTCAGCAGATCCTTCACCCTCTTCCAGCTTCCTCGGGCACTGCTCATATGTGTGGACAGACATACATGCAGGCAAAACACTCACACACATAAAATAAAAATGAGAAACCAGGCAGTGGTGGCTCAGGCCTTTAATCCCAGCACTCAGGAGGCAGAGGCAGGAGAATCTCTCTGAGTTCCGAGGCCAGCCTGGTCTCCAGAGTGAGTTCAAAGGACAGCCAGGGCAACACAAAGAAACCCTGTCTCAAAAAGAAAGAAAGAAAGAAAGAAAGAAAGAAAGAAAGAAAGAAAGAAAGAAAGAAAGAAAGAAAGAAAGTAAGAAAGAAAAGAAAAATGAGGTGACTGACATGAACATCAGTAGAGACCCTCTAGCCCACAAAGATGAAGTCCATAAGTGCATCTTTTGTGGGGAGCATGTTTGAGACAAGGTTTCTCTGTGTAACCCTTCTGTCCTGGAACTCATTATGTAGACTAGGCTGGCCTCAGACTCAAGAGATTCACATGCCTCTGCCTCCTGAGTGCTGGGATTAAAGGTGTGCACCACCACACCTGACTAATGTGTTTCTTTATAGACCTCTGCCCTATATAATTGAGAGAATGGTGATTGCCGTGGAAACAGTGCTCCCCTGTAGCTTTATGTTTAATGCGATTGTGTGTCAGTGTGTGATGCAGGCTTGTGAGAACGTGTGAGATCATACTGTATCAAAGACTTTTACAACCCTTCCTGCTGGAGCTAGTCTTCCAGACATGGCAGGTCTCTCGTGTCTTATGGTCGTTTATCAGGAATCTTCAAAACTCCATCCCAACTATTTGGTTCCTGGTGTCATCAATGCTGCCGAAACCTGGGACCTATTACTTCCCCTGGGAAGTCAGTGATGGCCAAGTTCCTGACGGAAGCACACTGCGAACATTTGGCAGGTAAGAATGGTCATCCCAGCCGGGCGGTGGTGGCGCACCCCTTTAATCCCAGCACATGGGAGGCAGAGGCAGGCGGATCTCTGTGAGTTCGAGGCCAGCCTGATCTACAGAGCGAGTGCCAGGATAGGCTCCAAAGCTACACAGAGAAACGCTGTCTCAAAAACAAAAAAAACAAAAAAAAAAAAAAAAAGGAATGGTCATTCCTTCATGTGGCAGTGGTGATTAAATATCTCCCCTCCAAAGAAACTCAATGAAAATGGTTTTAATATAATTTTGTCTAATTATAAACTCTCACTGTGTAGCCCCAGCTGGCCTGGAATGAGCCATCTAGACCAGGCTGACCTTAAACTCATAGAGATTTGCCTGCCTCTGCTTACTGAGTACTGGGACTAAAGGTGTACACCACCATGCCTGGTCATATTATTTGTTTTAATACAAATAACCCACAAAGGAATAAAGAAAAAAATATATATATATATGTGGTACTATTGTCCAGAGAACCATTGATAATTTTTTGACCTGTTTACTTTCTCATGTGTATATGCGAGTGATGACTGGTGGATGTGGGTATACACATATATACTGTTATTTGTATATTGTTATGTCACAGATCACCTGAAAATAAAGTGATGCTAAGCATGGTGACACACATTTTAGCTTGGGAGGCTGGCGCAGAAGGATCTCAGGTTGATGGCCTGCTTGGGAAGCTTGGCAATGTGCTGTCTCACAAAAGAAAAAAATAAGCTGGGCACAATGGCGCACGCCTTTAGCCTTTAATTCCAGCACTCGGAAGCAGAGGCAGGGGGATTTCTGTGAGTTCAGGGCCAGCTTGGTTTACATGTTGAGTTCCAGAACCAGCCAGGGATGCATAGCCAGACCTTGTCTCAAAATAAAATTGACAAAATTCAAAACAAAAGTAAGAAAATTGCCAGGCAGTCACCTCCCACCTATAAGGTAGTGGGAGATACTTGTTCCAGTCTGTGGCTTATAATCTATTTTTGGATCACACTGAGGCCAATCATGGGCTCCCATGGATTTGCCGGCCTCCTCTATGAAGCTTGGTGGTAGCTTATCTTTGAGTACAAATGCTCACACTTCCTCTGCCCTCCAGGTTGTGCTTCTACGACATGACACGCTCCCTTGCCACCCTGACAGCACGGTACACGTCTGATCAGTGTCAGCTGCGAGTCTGCACCAAGCTGGTGGAGCCATTTGAGCCACATGTGGACTTCCTGTACATGGTTCTGGGGGAGCTGGAGCATGAGGAGGGTGAGCTGTTCTCTCTACAACCTGCATCACTCCGTCTCCTGAGCTGGGGTGTCTTTATGTAAATCAATGCACTGGGTCTGGGACACACCCCTGTAATCTCAGCACTCTGTGAGTTCCAGGCCAGCCTGGTCTACATAGAAAAAAATCCTGTCTCAAACAAAAACAAAACAATAGAACTAGGGAAATGTGGGCTCAGTGGGTAAAGTGTTTGCCACAAAAATGTGGGGACCTGAGTTCAGGTCCCCAGAACACAATGAAACTCAATAGGTATCTGGTTCCAGTGTCCCTAACAGGGAGACAGGGAGCAGAGAACAGACTGGTATATGCATTGGTGAGCATGAGACCTCGCCTCAAACAAGGTGGAGATGAGGACTGACTCTCAAGGTTTTCTTCTGATGTCCACACATGTGCCTTGACATACAGAAGCCAACTCACAAAGAAAAAAAAAAAAGAGGAGAATGGATTGAAGCCGTCCTGTGACCTAGTGGGATCACCATTGTTTACAGAGCAGCCCACGAGGTCAAGGACTCTTGAGAAACAGGTGTGACTGGACTGTAAGGCACCAGCCATGTGATGCCATCTCAGAAAGGACAGTGAAGAGATGCCACCATGGAGTGACAAAAGAGAATCACAGATTTCTGAGTGTCTGTGTGTGATGTAGTTGGCTTAGAGCTTTCCTAATATGCCCACCTAATATGCCAGATTAAGGGCTAATCTATGTCTTATGGCTACTTCATAAAAGCCAAACTCAAGAGAAGATGGGGCTGTAATAACAGGCCAGGAAGTCAAGGGAAGAGACATAAAACACCAGGGGAGGAATAAAAACAGTCTGGAACAACAGTCCACCTGCCATGAAGAATTGGAAGCAAGGTGGGAGTACGGTTAAGTGATAGATACCCAGCGTGCATCAGTCCTGGGTTCCAGACCCAGCTTTAAAGAAAAAAAGAGTTGAGCAAGCTGAGCTCCCAGGTCATAGAGAAGGGACAATGACTTTTCTGTACTCCGGAGGGAGGCACGGGTTGCCTATCCATGTCATCCATTTTATGTGTGTGGGTGGTATTTCCTCGACTTCTGTTATGATTTGCTCCCCTAACCCTGTTATCACAGGAATGTGTGTTCATTTTAGAGAATTTAAGTAGTAAAACAAACAGGGACTGGGCTGAGGCTATAGCTCGGTAGTGGAACACTCGCCTGGCATGTGTAAGGCCCTGCTTAGCCGCCAACAGTGCAGAGATGGAGGGAGGGGAAAAAGAAAGAAAGAGGAAAAGGTCACTTTCAATCCTACCCCAAGGCAGTTACTGTTACTAACCTGGCACATGCCCCTCCAGTACTTTCCACTTTGTTTTATTGGAGAATATGTCTCATTATAGTGTACTGTCTGGTTCCACCCTGAGTTCAACTGACCCTCTTGCCTCAGCCTTCTGGGTAATTGGCCCTGCAGGGGGTGTGATGCCAGACTTGACTGGTGTAGTTGGTAGTTTGTCTGTCCACCTCTTCTCTCTGGGCAGGCAAGTAGTAGAAGCTTTATTTAAATAGACAGAATAGGGGGCTGGGGAGACAGGTTATCAGTTGAGAGTACCTGTTCTTGCAATTCTCTGCACCCACACGGGGCCTCACAACCATCTATAGCCCGGGCTCAGGAGATCTGACAGCCTCATTTGGCCTCTGTGGATACTACATGTATGTAATGTACAGACATATAAACACCACACACATAGAATATTATTATAAGTGAGAAGACAGTACAGCATCCACTGCCAGGAGGCAGTAGGCAGCTTCAGCTGGGGTGTTTGGGGTGGGGGAGGTGGTTTCCAGAAGTGTCGACATCACACTATACTTTATGTCTGTGTTGGGTTGTTTTTAAGTTTTTAAAAGCCATTTAAAATTTGTTAGTGTGTGTGTGTGTTGTTGTTGTTGCTGTTTGAGACAGGATCTTATATATCCTGGGCTGGCCTCAAATCAGCAGTATAGCCAAGGCTGGCCTTAAACTTGTGTTTGGAGCTGGAAGAATGGCTCATCAGTTAAGAGCATTTGTCATTCCTGCAAATAGATGGCCATGGCTGTTAATGGTACATATTCCCAGTGCCCACACAGCCATTCACAACAGTCCACAGCTCCAGTTTCAGGGGATGTGACAGGCTTGTCTGACCTCTGTAGGCACAAGGCTTGCACACAGTGTGCAGACATACATGCAAACACTCATTCACATAAAATAAATATATCTAAAACCAAAAACTTGTAGTCCTCCTGCCTCTGCCTCCTCATGCTGGGATGACATGCATGTACCATCAGGCCCAGCTATGAAGTGAAACTTGTCCCCACCTTTTCTTTGCTTTGGGACAGAGACTCTCTTTATGTAGCCCAGGCTGGCCTGGAATTTGTGATCTTCCTGCCTCTGACTCCCAAGTACTAGGATTTCACATCTGTGAAACTACAACCAGTTAAATTTTTGGACTTTCCTTAGCATTTTAAAAATTAATTTGTTAATTTGGGTATTTATTTATTTTGAGACAGGATATTATTCCATATCTCAGATTGACTGGAATTTATTGCATTGTAGGCCAGGCTGGCCTTGAACCCACAGTAGGCCTTCTTCCTTAGCCTCCCACGTGCTAGAATTATAGACCCATCCTGATAAGATTGTTCCTTAGCTTTTTAATTGTTTGTGTTTTGAGATAGGTCTATGTAACCCAGGCTGTCCTGGAATTTGCTGTGTAGAGCAGGCTGGCCTGTGGCCTCATTCTGATTATCATACTTGATCATTCTGACTCTTCCAGAAGGGTTAAGATTAGCAGCATGGACTACTATGCTTAGTACACTTATGTCTCTTTAATTTATACTTTTAAAATTCCACGGGCTGGAGAGATGGCTCAGTGGTTAAGGGCACTTGCTGCTCTTGCAGAGGACCTGGGTTTGTTTTCCAGCACCCACGTCTGATAGTCACAGCTGCCTTCTGACCGGCTCTTCTGGTTTCTGCCGTCAGTCACCTCACTCACGTCCATTCACACTCGTGTGCTCACACACAAACACAATTAGAAATAAATTCTTTTTAAAAATCCCTGGTGGGTTATAGCTCTGGATAAAATACATCAATTAAATCCATTAATTAAATGGCTGGTCTTAATTACATTGGATTTAATAAAAGTTCATCTCATTCAGATTTAAGATTTGAAGGTCAGAGTTCCTGCCCTCATAATTGGTTTGGGAGAGAATGAGAGGAGGTACAAAGGGCCTTTTATCTTTTAAAGAACAAAACTAATTTATTTGTATGTGTGCACACTCTCATGTTTGCCCCAGCATGCATAAATGTGCTGGCACGGTGCTCTGTAAGGCTAGCTCCCCAGCTCCTGTTCGATTTTTTTTTCTTATAACTTTGTTTATTTATTTATTTATTTTTGTTTTTTTAAGACAGTGTTTCTCTGTGTAGCTTTGGAACCTGTCCTGGAACTCGCTCTGGAGACCAGGCTGGCTTCAAACTCACAGAGATCCGCCTGCCTCTGCCTCCTGAGTGCTGGGATTAAAGGCGTGCACCACCATAACCCTTTTCTGCATTTTTCTGAGTATTTTGTACAGGTCACTGTGATCTGGAGTGAGGAATTAAGATGAGCAATGGGTGGAGCCCTGTGTAGGCTGAGCATGGCCTGTCTGTCCTGCCCTCTCACCTGGGCAAAGGGTGTACTGTGCGGCTGCTTTCAACCTTCCTGAGCCTGCTGTGAGTCTTGTTGGGTGCAAAGGTCCATCAAGCGTGTGCTGTGCCCTGTGTCCAGGTAGAAAGCCCTGAGGTCAGAGGAGATGTTAGTTAGAGGGACTTTTCTAACTTCTCATGTAGAGCCAGCCATGAGATTAGTGTGAAACAATGCCAGCTGTGTGATCAGCTCCTAAGAGGTGACACCTCCCAGCTCCACCCAAGGTCCTGAGGGGTTCCTGTCTGGAGTGAGGTGTTTCTGGCCACCTTCCCGCAGCCCAAGAGTCCTGGCTTTGTAATTAGCAATAATTACACTTGGTAAAGCCTCATTGGCTATAACAATTGCCACCTCACAAATCTCATTTCTCCTCTTTTAAAAACTACTGTAAAGCTGGGAGATGGTGGCACACGCTTTTGATCCTGGCACTCAGGAGGTAGAGACAGGTGGATTTCTGTTAGTTCAAGACTAGACTGGTTAGCCTGGTCTACAAGCAAGTTCCAGGACAGGCTCCAAAGCAGCAGAGAAACCCTGTCTCGGAAAATAAACAACAACAAAAGTTTAATTGATACATGGTGATTGTATATGCATATTACAGGGCACAAGGTGACATTTCAGTCCCTCCATAGATAACGAAGGGCCAAACTGACACATCCATTTCTATAGGTGTGTGTGTGTGTGTGTGTGTGTGTGTGAGAGAGAGAGAGAGAGAGAGAGAGAGAGAGAGAGAGATACTCAAAAATCCTCTCTGCTAGCTGTTTTGAAATACTCAAGTAGTTGGCAGCAAGTGGGTCTGGTGGGGAAGGACTGTAATTCTAACTACCTAGGAAGTTCAAGGCCCTGCCAGGGATACAGAGTGAGTTCAAGACCAGCCTGGGCATCTTGGTAAGGCCATGCCTCAAAAAGTTAAAAACAGGAAAGAGAAAGAAAGCTGGGAAGGGGAGCACAGTTCAGTCATGGCAGCACAAAGGCAAGAGAGACGGGGCATGAGGAAGGAGAGTTACAGCCTCGTAAATGCCTGGATAGCTGTCCCAGAGCCTGAGGCCAGGCTGACCAGGACATGGAGGGAAGCCGCTCAGTGAGATGGAAGACTTTGAAGTCCACATGCAGAGGTCTGTGGCCTTCCTCACCCATCAGGGGGTGTGGCCAGGGAAGGCATCGGGCAGGAAGCTGAGAAGGCAAAGGCTGATTAGTGCCAGCTGAGGGGCCAGAGAAGGTGAGAGAAAATCCTCGAGTCCTGTCAGGGCTGAAGTAGGGTGCAGAGGGAGTGAATCGATAGATAAATACTGAGAAGAACAAAGTTTCCCCAGGAGGGGAGGCTGCCTCCAGGACAGCCAGTCCAAGGTGCGGGGTGGGTGTGGGAGGTAGAACTGGGGCAGAGGTGAACAGTGGTGTAACTGGTTAGCGGTGGGAAGGAGGAGACAGGCGTGTCATGTGACCCCTGCACAGTGGGTGAACTCTGGACTCACCTCCCGGATCAGCGTGGGGCGTGGGGTGTGGCGTGGGGTGTGGGGTGGGAGCCCGAGTGAGGAGTATGGGGAGTGTAGGGGTTGGAACCCTTTGTGGGAAATGTGGGGTGGGAGCCTGTCTAGGAGGACTTGCTTGTCTGGATGATGTCAACTTGTAGCCAGGTCCCCCTGACCCCGAAAAGCTAGGAGCATTCTGGAAGACAGAGACCATAGACCAGAGGGTGTAAAAGGAAGGACATAGGACACAGGAGTGTGTGGGGCGGGGATGAGAACATGGTGGGATTTGGGGTGACTGTGCCAGGACAACCTCTGATGCAGTCAAGCATCCACCGTTAAGGGGTACACATGCGAGCCCTAGTACTCTGTGCACAGCAGGGCAGCCATGGTACTTGACAATTGTGTGTGTGCTGGGAGTTGAACCATGGGCCTCCTGCATGCCAGGCAAATGGTTATGTTTTTACTATCCTTAGATGGTCTCTCTTGTACACTAGACTGCCCTCAAAGTAGCTATGTATTGAAGAATGACCTTATCTCTGGATCCTCTACCGCCCGAGTGCTGGGATTACAAGTGTGTGCCACCATGTCCACTTTACGTGGTGCTGGGGCTCAAACCCTAGGCTGAGTTGGTGCTAGGCAAGTACTATACCAACTAGCCTCCATTTCCTGCCTTTTCCTTCTGAAGATTTACTCTGCTTTCCAGTGTGTGTGTCAGAGAGAGAGAGAGAGAGAGTGTGTGTGTGTGTGTTTCTGTCTATGCATAGGTTATGTGCACACATATGCAGGTATCCATAGAAACCAGAGGCCTTGGATGGCCCTGCAGCTGGAGTCATGGTTGTGGGTGCTGGGAACTGAACTCAGCCTTCTGCCAGGGTAGTTTGTGCTTCTCAACCACTGAGCCAACTTCCGGTTCCTCTTTTTGGTCATTGTTTTTAATGTTCATTTTTGGCAGTGTTGAAGGTCAAACTCTGGGCCTGCACACACTCGACAAGTGCTCTGTTTATTATTTCAGGTGGGGTTTTCCTTCAGCCACACCTTCCCAAGAGCTCAGATTCTAGGCAAGCCCCCGTCATGCCCGGTTTTCCTCACATCAGCTACCCCAGTTAACATCCAGGCCACGGCCAGCCGTCCTCTAATCATGTGCGTCGTCCAGGTCCATATCGATTTCCATCCTAAACAGGCAGAAGCACCTGGACCGCCAGCCTCAGGCCGAGTGTACCAGTGGCTCCCTTACTCTGTTATATGCAGTGAAGTGTTGCCCAAGTATACAGTAAAAGGTAACGCCAACTAAAATAACTTAAACTTAAAAATAACAGTAATGGGATATGAGAGCTGGCTCAGCAGTTGAGAGTGATGGATGCCCTTCTGGAGGATCCAAGCCTGGTTGCCAGCATCCCCATCAACAGCTCACCGCCACCCACCTGTACCTTCAACTCCAGGGGAGCAGCTACTCTCCTTGGGCCTTCAGAGGCTCCCACACTCCTGTGCACACGCCTACACACACACACACACACACACACACACACACACACCTAATTTAAGCTATTAACTCCTCTAAATAATGTCAACAAACACTTTTTAAAGATTCTGTGAAATTTAAGCAGATTTCTAAGAAAATGTTCGCATCAGAAGTTTGGGAACAATTGACATAGAATCCTGTTTTGAGTTTAGGATCTCCCATCCCTCCTTCCAGTAACTCTCCATGGCATTCACAACCAAATCATCACCTCATTCATGTTAAGGAAGGGCTCTCAAGAAACCCCTTCCATGCCCTCTGGTTTTGTTTTGGTTCATTTTGATTTCAGACAGGATGTCTCTGTCTGTGTAGCCCTGGCTGTCCTGGAACTCGCTCTGTAGACCAGGCTACCCTCAAACTCACAGAGAGCTGCCTGCCTCTGCCTCCCAAGTACTGGTACTACAGACATGTGCCAACAGCGCCCAGCTGTTTGTTTTGTTTTTAGTTACTTATTGTTATATGTGTATATGTGTGAGTTGCCACAGAAGCCAGACTTGGATTTAGAGATGTTTATGAGCCACCCAGCATGAGTGTCAGGAATTGAACTCAGGTCCTTCAGAAGAAGAGCAAGTGCTCTTAACCACTGAGTCATCTCCAGTCCCCCAGCCCTCCATTTTGACATTGTGAACATCTGATTCTGTTCTTGCCGATCCGACAAGCTCTTTAGAACTAAGTGTGTCCCCAGGGTTCTTGGAGTGGTATGAATGTTTGATTGACGTGTGTAGATAGATAATCCTCCATCCAGAGTCCTCTGAGTGTCGGTAATCGGCAGCCAACACCCATCATTGGGGCCACACACTGAGGCCTCTGTGAGCAACACCACCTCTGCGCTCAGCACTTAGAAACTGAGGCTCAGACAAATCCGTCTTCCATGGGCGACCTGTGCAGGTGGCTGAACCCTAAAAAGCTTGATGATGAGGTCTGCCTGCAGACTGTCTTCCATAGGTAAGTGACCTGGACTAGAAAGGTCAGGCGAGAGACTTCAGCCAGAAAGCTGTTATCTCAGATCGTCAGAAATAGAACATTGAGCTTATTCACTGAAGTTCCTGGGAAGCAGTAAGAACCCAAGAGGAAGTTTTTTCTAAGCCAGGCATGGTGACATTCACCTGTAATCACAGCACTTGGGAGGTAGAGGCAGAGGATCACGTGTTCAGGGTCACCCTAGGATATATAGCAAATTTCAGGACAGCCTGAACTATACTAACCTCTGTCTAAAAGTAAGTAGGGGCTGGAGAGATGGCTCTGAGATCCAGAGCACTGACTGCCTTTGCAGAGGACCTTGGTTCCCTTCCCGACACTCACACGGTGGCTCAGAACCATACCTAAGTCTGGTTCCAGAGGATCTGATGCCCTCTTCTGTCATCTGGGAGCACCGGGAACATGCATGATACAGTTACCTGCATGCAGGCCAAACATCCGTGCACATAAACTAAATCAGAACATAAATAACTAAATATAGGGGCTGGAGAGATGGCTCAATAGTTAAGAGCACTTGCTGCTCTCCCAGAGGACATGGGTTCAATCTCCAGCACTCACAGTGTCTCACAACTAACTGTGTCTTTAACTCCAGTTTCAGGGGATCCAATACCCACTCCTGCCCTCTCAGGGTACTGCAGGCCCCCTGTACACCTACGTACATGTAGGCAAACAGTCATCCACATAAAACAAACATACTTTTTTTTTTTTTTTTTTTTTTTTGTCTTTAGAGACAGAGTTTCTCTGCGTAGCCTTGGTTGTCCTGGAACTGGCTCTGTAGACCAGGCTGGCCTTGAATTTACAGAGACTTGCCTGCCTCTGCCTCCTGAGCATTGGGATTAAAGGCGTGCGCCACCACCACTGCTGCCGTCGCCGGTGCCACCACCAACGCCGCTACCCAGCAAAAAATAAATAAATAAATAAATAAATATTTTTAAAATAAAAAATTCTAAACATCTGTTGTGGACACCATAATCAATGTCTTTCCTGTTTTGATATTACAGGAACATTGACTGACATATATCAGGTTGTCACCTACATCTGCTGCTAGCAGGCCCCAGCCACCTTTCCCAGCGTGGGGTGACTAACCCCTATAAAACCAGCCTTGCTTGGGCCTCAGCCCCTTGGATTTATCAAACATGGTTTCTCTTCACTCCAATTTTCTTCCTTCCTTCCTTCCTTCCTTCCTTCCTTCCTTCCTTCCTTTCTTCCTTCCTTTCTTCCTTCCTTCCTTCCTTCCTTCCTTCCTTTTTTTTTTGTTTTGTTTTGTTTTGTCTTATTTGTTTTTTTTTTTGAGCAGGATTTCTCTCTGTAGCTTTGGAGCCTGTCCTTGAACTCGCTCTATAGACCAGGCTGGCCCCGAACTCACAGTCCCTGCCTCCCGGGTGCTGGGATTAAAAGCATTCGCCACCCCTGCCAGTCACTCCAGTTTTCAATGACGCTGGTCCCAGGGTGCCAAGGAAGGCTTTCCCTTAGAGCAGTGTTTCCTCAATGCTGGGCTTTTGGAAGAAAAAGGAATTGACACAGGAGTTGGAATGTGGAGGGTCAACTTCCTGCTACCTGAAGTACAGTCCTGGGTCTCCTGGAGACAAAGTGTCTCTGGAGTGAAGGAATCAGTCAGGGGATGCCCGGAAGCAAGCATCGGTAGAGTGTTGCAGATGCTCTTGGAAGTCACTGCTGAGGCCTCGGGGTCTGTCTTTCAGATGGAGGTCCTGTGGTGAAGGCCCGGCTGCTCACCTGTGTGGAGGGGATGGATCTATCCTTGTTAGAAAAAGCCATCTTGGAGCAGAGGCTGTACCTGCAGAAGAAGCAGCAGCCCACAGGAGCCACCAACACCTTGCCAGCCCCTCCATGTGCTGTTCATTTCCAGTAACGGTTTTCATCTAGAACCAGAAATTGGCGGCTCGGGGGTGGGGGTGGGGGTGGGGTGATGGTGGGGAGATGCCCCTTCCCTGGACTCTGAACTGATCTGTAAATGAAAGCCCACCTCAAGCCAGCCGTGGTGGCCGGTGCCTGTAATCCCAGCGATAGGGAGGCAGAGTCAGGAGGATCTGGAGTTTAAGCCCAATCTGAGCTACATGAGACCCTTTCTCTAAAATATATATCTGATATCTGGAGCTGTGACTTGTGAAAGACACGAAGGGTTGGTTCCTCAGTGTCCTCATGAATAAAGAAAGAGTATGAGCTTACAGTGTGTGTGCATGGTGCAGAGCCGGCTGCAGCCAGCGGGGGCCAGCAGGGGGAGCCACAGCAGACAGCTTGCCTGACAGAGAAGCTGCAGCCTGCTGAGGACTTCTGGTGACTTCTGGGCTGGGAGGCTGAGGGGAGGATGCTAGGGGCCCAGGGGCAGAGTTGGGGGAACCAGGGGCAGAGTTGAGGGGTTCAAGATGCTCAGGGGTCACCCTTGCAGAGGTTCTGACGTGATGGAAGCTAAGAACTGACAAGGAGCCAAGCGGAGGCCCTGGGTCCTGATGTGTGACCCAGGGCCAGGATTGTGGCTTCAGAAGCCTTGGCCAACTCCTAACCTCTGCCTCATGCTGTTAACCCTTCCCTGTACACCCTTCCTGAGTAGATTCTTGTGGCCCGGGAACACTGGTGTGCGGGGTACCAGTCATGGGCTGAGGCAGAAGTTTGGCCTCTCCTGCACTCCGTAGCTAGGCAATGGAGAAGAAGCCTGGAGCTGGGTTGAACTGGGCTGGGCAAGAAGCAGCCCTCAGCCTTGAACTATCTTCCTGAGCAAGATGGGTGGCAGGCAGTGCATGGGAGAGCCAGGCCAGGGCGGGGGCTGGGCAGGGTGTTATGTGCAGCCTGGAGTCCGGCAGAGGGAATGCTCCGTGTGGGATTTAAACGTCCAGATGCGGTCTGTTTCCCGGGCAGCTCTACAGACATGGATTCATTCCAGAAGGTCGAGAAGATTGGAGAGGGCACCTATGGGGTGGTCTATAAGGCCAAGAACAAAGCAACCGGGCAGCTTGTGGCCCTCAAGAAGATCAGGCTGGATGCGTGAGTGTCAGGGCGCATCCCAATGCCCTGTCTGTCTCCCAGGGGGATACTAACACCTATCACACCTATCTTCATCTCGTGGGCCTGCACCCAGCCTCTATGGTAGACACAAAGATGCAGCCCCACCTCCCTTCTGACTAGCCTTTGTCCTGGGTCCAGCCGTGTGGAGCTTGGTGGGTGTACACACAGAGACACGCATGCTCACACACAGACAGAGGTGCTTACACACAGGTGCACACACAGGCACACACAGAGACACGCATGCTCACACCCAGACAGAGGTGCTTACACACAGGTGCACACACAGGCACACACAGAGACGAGCATGCTCACACACACACACACAGAGGTGCTTACACACAGGTGCACACACAGGCACACACAGAGACGGGAATGCTCACACACACACACACACACACACAGAGGTGCTTACACACAGGTGCACACACAGGCACACACAGAGACGGGAATGCTCACACACACACACACACACACACAGAGGTGCTTACACACAGGTGCACACACAG